CCCAACACCAAACAGATCATTGCAGCATTACCCATAATCCCCTCTGTTTCAGCCCTGTTTCAAAAGTGCTGATTCCCTGGGTGTTTCTCAATCGCGAGTAAAGCTGCTGCAGAGCCACTATTTCAAGCACACGAGTGCCGCCGAAGGACTGTTCCAATCTCCAGCATACTTGGAAATCTACCGAGCCCTGCGTGCTTCGTTAGGAGAAATTTCGAGGCTGCACATGTGTAGACTCTGCGGTCTTAAAATCCCCACAATGCTTTGCGCACGGACCAATTTCCTCAAATTTGTGGTGGAAAATGTAAGGCGGGGCCTCTCATATGACACACACCTGCACACTTGCTAGCCTGTTCCACTCTTCGTTTTCCGAATGCTAGGAAGTATTCTTGCCTCGCTTCTGAAGCAAGACGCTCGGCAGACATGTGCTACCAAGCAAGCGTACTCGAGATTGAGACACCACCCTGTGACTTTAGATGAAAGTAAGGAGCCCCTCCCCACGCCCCTCTGAGAGATATTTGGTTAAAAAGAACACAATGGTGCTCTAGGAGGAGATTCAGGTGATAAGGGGGGGGGGGGGGTTACCTTGGTTGCTGATTGGCTAATGGTTACTCAAGCCAAAAAAACGTTATGACATCATAAAGTGGCCAAAATCTGATCAGCTCATTTTCAGACAGGTTTTTATAGAAATGGATCAGGACAAAAAGAGAGAGAATCTTTTTTCCTGAAACTTTCAGAATCTCTTTCCACAGAGGGGACACATGTTGATGTAGAAGAGACAGGAAGAAGTGGATTTTGCATAATAGGTGACCTTTAAAGAATAAAAAGCTTGAGATAAAAAGATTGTAAACGGTGTGTTTTGTGTTTTCTCTCTTAATGACTTCCCGTCAGGCGTGGGTTGATGGAGGATGACGCAGAGCCGATCTTCGAGGACGTGATGATGTCATCGCGAGGACAGCTGGAGGACATGAACGAGGAGTTCGAGGACACGATGGTGATCGACCTGGTCAGTGACGCCACTTTCTCCCAGGGCCTTTCATTTAGGGCAGATACAGATAGGAGCATTGTGTTTAGTCATTGTTGTCTTTCTAATTCAATGTCTTCTTTTGTCTTTCTTCCCACCCAGCCGCCATCGAGGAACAGACGTGAAAGAGCAGAATTAAGACCAGACTTCTTTGACTCTGCAGCGATGATTGAGGACGAGTCGGTGAGTAAAACTTTGACAGTTTGACTCAGGAAAGTAAGAACAGCTCAAACAATTAGGCCGTTAATTGATTAGCCAACTTACACAAAATAAAGCCTTCCTTCTATCAATCATTTTTATATTTTTTACAAGCTAAAATGTAAAGATGAATTGCTTCCAGCCTCAAAATGTCAGCAGGTCACCATTGAAAAAGAGGTCAAAGATCTCAATGGGTTTTCACCTGAATAAATAAAGGTTTTGAATTGAATTGAATTGTGAACTTTTGGTTTGTTTGTTTTTATACTGTCAATGAAAGTCTGAATATTTATTAAAATGTAATTTAAGGCACTGGAACATTGTAATGGACATGTTTGACTTAAGATTAGCGAAAACAATTGTTAGTTTCAGCCCAATGTGCTAATCAGTCATCTAAAATAAGTTTCATACCGTCAGTGATTTGATTCTGTTTTAAAGACACAATATGTAGAATGTGAACTTTTTAACTCTGGCGCCCCCTAGTGGTATAAAAGAAAAGCAGCCGTGAAAGTCTGAGATCTTTTCTGTTTAAGATCATCTGACACCTCTCTCTCTCTCTCTCTCTCTCTCTCTCCATGTTTTTAGGGTTTCAGCATGCCCATGTTCTGATCCAGGAAGAGGCAAAGATCCTGAGCTCAGGATCCACATCAGGAGTCAACAGAAGGGAGGGTCTGGGCCGTCTCACCCAGAAAACCTGCCAATCAAACTCTTAAGAATAGGAAACAACATTGTTGAAACACTTTTCTCTTTCTGTAAGACGGGATGGAAGCATTGTTTGTCAGGTGGATCTGCTGACGGACGTGGAATCGGCCGGATCTCACCTGGAAAGTCAAGCGAGGATCGGCTGTGTTCTCACGGGCCGGAGGATCCAGAACCGAGTCCGGAATATTCAAGAGCTTCGTCTTCTCTCTAAATCATCCTCCTCTTCCTCCCTTTCCAGCCTGTTGGTTTAGCTCTTGTTAGCGGTAGCTCGGATGGCCGACGAGCACTTGCAGTTTTTACGGTTCCCTGTTACACAGATGTACAGTTATTTGGTTCAGAGCAGCCCCTCCCCCCCCTCACCCTCCCCCCTTATTTTGGTGTCGCACTTCGAATCCGTCTGGTAGAATCTGACATAGAGAGGATATCAATACTAAGTGTTCTATATCTTTGCTCTTATTACCACCCAACGACCCCTCTCCGCTCTCTGTTCGCCATCAGAGTCCTCGTGTGTGTGCGTGCGTGTGTGTGTGTGTGTGTGTGCGTGCGTGTGTGCGTTGGTGATGGTTGAGTAGTTGCGTGACGTCAAAGCGAAGGAGAAGCCACCCTCCCCCCGCTCTCAGATCTCGGATACGTTTTTGAAGTTTAAAAAAAAAAGAAAATAAACATATTTTTAATTCTGTAGCTTTAGTACTAAAGTTTTAAATCAAGTGTGTCTTTGTTTCTGTCGGATGTTTGTACAGCTTTTTCTCGAATATGTATCATGTTTGTTGCCAAATTGTGGCCTACATACTTACGGTATATTCCTTCCCCTACACCTGTGTCTCATATCTAACGGTTACCAAGCTCAGAGTGTTGCTGTGGGATCTCTTTAAGCGCTGTATGGTCTGATTGTAGTCGTTTCACAGTTCAGTATTTACAGCAAACTATCTGTTCATTTTGTTCATTTTACAGGTTACATTTCTACGCCTGTCTCAGTGTTATCTGATCCAAGATGATTTGTTGTTATTCTGATTTGTTTGAATGTGTTTTGAATGTTTCCAGCCATATCGTTGTTCACGCTCCGTCGGTTAATCAATCATCCACCTCTCCCCCTGGCTGGCTTGGCAGTCCTCCTGTAAATATCAGAGACAATTGGATCTTTCCTGCAGTGCAGTTGACATCAGTTGCCCTTAAATGCTCTAAACGCCTGTTTTTTTCTTCTGTGAACCTAAATTCTTTTTAATAAAATAAAATCTGTATTCGATTTATGGACAAGTGTTTGAGTGTGCCTTTTGTTTCACAGCCCAGAGTTCAACACTTTGCCAACGTTGACCCATTACTGTGTAGCACCTCATTTTCACCCTGGTTACATTTGACAAAACAATCTGAACTCAAGTCTCTTGCCCTCAAACTGTAGATATTCAGACTCTCCGTGGTTTTCTGTGCTCCTCTCATCCATGATGTCTGAACTAAAGTTGTCAGAATCGATCTCCTGATGAAGACTGTGATACAGTCCAAAGCTCCAAGGAAAGTAAGTGAACCTCGAGGCAAAAATATTGTATAATATAACGGTATAATAAAACATGTTAAGTTGTCAAACCTCACTTTTCTCCAAGGATTTAACAACTGCAGTGAAAGCATTAAAAGATTTGTTTCTCGCTCACTGTAGAACATCTCTTAACGGACACAAGCACGACATCTTTTCATCAAGCTAGATATCTCTCTGCAAAAAATCTTAAAGGTAGGGTAGATAAGAATGGAGAAACCAGTTCGAGTGCGCTAGAATTTGAAAGTACGCTGCCGAAAAAAATCGGCCCCTTCTTTCAGACTTCCTCACAGAGCCCCGCCTCCAACACACACGAACGCGCACATGACCAATGAGGGCACGAGATAAGTTTGTGCACGAGATGGAAGGCTGACAGGCAGGTAGGCCGTCCAGTTATTTAAGCCGGGCCGGCTCAGATGATTGGTCTTGCTTTTTACAGCGCCACGGCTTCCACAGATGACATTTTTGTATGTATTCATTGCTATCGGGATGTTAAGAGCATTCCATGGAATATAACAAAAAGTGTTTCTGAAGTGAATTACCTACCCCACCTTTAAGCGTATTTCCCAATCTTACTTCTAATTCGTTGTTTTAACATTTCTGCTCTTTGTGAATTTCACTTACACACTCGAAAACCAATATTATACTTATAAACACACACACTCACACTCTTGTAATTTCTGCAGATACAAATCCTTGCATTGGTTGAAGTGAACAAAAACAGAAACATGATATTGAGTCCATGATTTATTTTACAAATGGCAGAGGCTGCCAGAGAAGAAAGGCACAGTTCCATGTTGTGAGGATGACCTAAACACAGGGAGTGTCTAAAAACACTACGGTTCACACCACAAACTTCAACAACTAAATACAGAACATAAGCAACACTATTGTCATGAACAGACAATAAAAACAGACATGTTTGCATTTCCACTCTACGACCATGTGACAGTTTAGTTGCTCGTGTCCGTTCAGTGACACATAATCTACTCCTTTTAGATCAAATCTTGTTCTCAAACATGTCAAATCAAAGAAACAGTAGTGTCCAATGTGTACTGACATACAAGTATCTTGAATGTGTATAACAGCTTGTATCCTGGTCAGGTACTGGAAATGAGTTAGGGTTTCCATATCAAGGGTAAAGTTGTAAAGACACACCTGCTGATTTTGTTGACAGAGCACCAATATTTTCCCCAAAAACTTCAAAATGACACTACTAATGCCATATTACAATATCCAAAATCTAGAATGATATTTAGTCTGATATCGACATATTGCCCTGGTTCAAAACATAATCTGATTTTATTTATTGGGATGCTAACACGCACTAACAGAATCAGGTAGTGTATCTTTAAGTGCTGCTTCAGTGGAGTGGTGAATGACAAAACACAATCTGCTTACAGGCTACCCAAGTCCTAACCACGGGAACTAGTGCAGTTCATTCGGATGTGAAGTCAGTATCAGTGAACTCCCACAGCGAGCCTTCAGAGAGAGTTCATGTGAAAAAACAGTTTGTGTTGGATCACAGAGGAATGTTGGCGTGTTTCTTCCAGGGGTTCATCTGCTTCTTGCTGGCCAGCACCTCCAGATCTCTGCAGATCTTCTTGCGAGTTGTTGACGGTTCGATTATGTCATCCACAAAACCTGAAACAAACCATTTCAGCTCAAGGTCAGTATCAGGTGTGTATTAGGGATGGGAATTTGAAAGCAAATGTATATTCGAATATTCGACCCCCAAAAAAACGGTTAACCGAAATGTACATATCCTATAAAAAAAAAGTGGGAAAAATTTTGACAATTTTTTTTAATTAATTTTAAATGAAAGAGGGATCATACACGAACAACACAACGGGTTAGGGTAACGCCTATGCACAGAATGCAGCTATTCAATACTCATTCTTGTTTAAGAATATGAGCATGTCTACTCGAGGCGATTCACAATCAGGCCAGCTGTAGAGAAGACCCTCTCAGCTGGAATGTGGGCATAAGATGAGGTTTGAGTCTGCGTGACCTGCGTGTAGGGAGGGGCAGCAGACGTATCATTAGCTAGAACAGCTAGATCTGATGGAATCGGACAAAAACGTGAGTGAAGTATAACCGGACGCGAGAGAGAGAGAGAGAGAGATCAGCACCTGCAGCTCTGCCCGCTGTGAGGGACCGGTGAGCGGAGCAAAACACACCTTTAGACCTATGGCACTGTCGTATACATTTAATTATTCCATTTGATCATATGTAATCAACTTAGGCATCCCTCCCAATAAAAACAATTACAATAAAAATATTCATAACTCATATTATCATTTCGAATATTCGATTAATCGTTGCCATCCCTAGTGTGTATGGTTTATATTTGTGTGTGGAGTCTAAGCACAATCAGGGATGATGGTGAGAGATTTTGCATCGCTATAAAGACATGAAAGTTACCTCTGACAGCAGCTGGGAAAGGGTTGGCGAACTTCTCCACGTATTCAGCCTCTGCCTCAACCTGGTTCTCCTTTCCTCTGAAGATAATCTGAACAGCACCCTGAGAAAGAAAGAAAGAAAGAAAGA